CCATGGATGCCACATGGATGTCTTCTCGCAGTGGCGAGCATGGACGTGGTATCTGTGGCACGTGATGAATGGTGTCCTTACTGGTATCAGTGGGGGTGGCAACCCCGTGGTCCCTAAGGTGTTGCATGACATGTAGGTTGTAGTAAAAGGCACCTGGGGTGTGGGCGCAGTGACACCTAAATGGCTGGAATACCAAAGTGACACAAAGAAAATTTGTACCAGACTGGCACCAATGTGTGAGAGGAAAAAATACCCTAGTGACCCTGTGCAGGGCTAACAGTAAACCCAAACTGTGGGCAGTGGGCTAGAAAACAGTGCAGGTGAGAGGATGCAGGCACAAACAAAAAGGCTGTCAGCTTACCAAGTGCTCTCCCCGGAATGGCCGCCAGGGAGCACTGGTAAGCTGCCAGCCAGTGCAGCTGGCCAATGAGAGAACGCCCGCCCTCTGGAATAGGGCGGGCGCGGAGAAAAAGCGCGGCAAAGCCCGGCCGGCTTACTGTAATGTCCAAGTCTATGCCAGTAAAATTTAGTTACAGCAATCTAATATATATCTTCATGCAATGATAGACCACATCTTTCTTTAATCCTATTGATTTAGTACATACATTTACATAATTAAAAGTCCATTCTAGCTTAAGTATATATATATGTTGAACTGATACATATCAAATAGGAATCAATAATATTCCTTAACTTAAAGGAGCACTATAGTGCCAGGAAAACAAACTCAGTTACTGGCACTATAGGTTTTTTAGGTCCCCCTACCCTCGGAGCCACCCTGAAACTACTATGTTTTCAGCTGCAGGGTTAAAACTAGGGGGACCTGGCCCCCAGACCACTTCATTGAGCCTATAGTGGTGTGGGTGCCTATAGTGGTCCTTTAATGTATATCTCACTCAGACTGCAGGTAGAATAAGATATAACTTTTATATTGATACCTCAATGGGATATGTTCAGTTCGCAATATATATATATATATATATATATATATATATATATAGGCATTTAAAAGTCAAAATGATTTTATATTTAAAATAAAGAAAAACCTTTATACATTACCAGACTTTTATGTCAGATTAATTCAATTTGGGTTTCTCTGATCTGGTCAGTAACTCAGTCAATCCAAATTCAGTCAGTCTCCTGATCTCCTAGCCCTCTGGATCTCCTTTGATCTTTAAAGATCATCTGAAGATCTTGAATCTCCTCTTATTTTTCTCCCTATTTAACCATTATTTTCCACCTATCATTTCCTGCCCCTTGTTTGTAAATGGGCTGTATATGGCTTGAAATCGCTGCAAATAAATCTCAGGAATGAAACTGTAGATTGCCATTTCTCATGTTTACCTCTTAAAATCACTAAACAAAATGCTATTTTGCCCTTTGTCCAGAGAGGTTGAAGCAATGTTACGTAATGTCCAAGCCCATTTACCAGCATCCATATTGTTTTCTGAGTATAAAATGCATACTGTTCCAAATAGCACACTTCTATATACTACCTCCATTTCCTGTTTACTGAACGAATCTATTTACTCCCTCCATTTCCTGTTTACTGAACACATCTATTTACTCCCTCCATTTCCTGTTTACTGAACACGTCTATATGCTACCTCAATTTGTATATACTGATCACATATACCGTGTACACCACTTTAATTTCTTGTTTACTGAACCCATCTATATACTACCTCTATTTCCTGTTTACTGAACAAATCTATTTACTCCCTCCATTTCCTGTTTACTGAACACATCTATTTACTCCCTCCATTTCCTGTTTACTGAACACGTCTATATGCTACCTCAATTTGTATATACTGATCACATATACCGTGTACACCACTTTAATTTCTTGTTTACTGAACCCATCTATATACTACCTCTATTTCCTGTTTACTGAACAAATCTATTTACTCCCTCCATTTCCTGTTTACTGAACACATCTATTTACTCCCTCCATTTCCTGTTTACTGAACACGTCTATATGCTATATCCATTTCCTGTTTACTGAACACGTCTATATGCTATATCCATTTACTGTTTACTGAACACATCTATATACTACCTCCATTTCCTGTTTACTGAACACGTCTATATGCTACCTTATTTTTTGTATATACTGATCACATATACCGTGTACACCACTTTCATTTCTTGTTTACTGAACACATCTATATACTACCTCCATTTCCTGTTTACTGAACAAATCTATATACTACCTCCATTTCCTGTTTACTGGACATGTCTATATACTACCTCCATTTCCTGTTTACTGAACAAATCTATTTACTACATCCATTTCCTGTTTACTGAACACATCTATTTACTCCCTCCATTTCCTGTTTACTGAACACGTCTATATGCTACCTCAATTTGTATATACTGATCACATATACCGTGTACACCACTTTAATTTCTTGTTTACTGAACCCATCTATATACTACCTCCATTTCCTGTTTACTGAACAAATCTATATACTACCTCCATTTCCTGTTTACTGAACAAATCTATACTACCTCCATTTCCTGTTTACTGGACATGTCTATATACTACCTCCATTTCCTGTTTACTGAACACATCTATATGCTATATCCATTTCCTGTTTACTGAACACGTCTATATGCTATATCCATTTACTGTTTACTATACATGTCTATATACTACCTCCATTTCCTGTTTACTGAACAAATCTATATACTACCTCCATTTCCTGTTTACTGAACACGTCTATATGCTACCTTATTTTTTGTATATACTGATCACATATACCGTGTACACCACTTTCATTTCTTGTTTACTGAACACATCTATATACTACCTCCATTTCCTGTTTACTGGACATGTCTATATACTACCTCCATTTCCTGTTTACTGAACAAATCTATTTACTACATCCATTTCCTGTTTACTGAACACATCTATTTACTCCCTCCATTTCCTGTTTACTGAACACGTCTATATGCTACCTCAATTTGTATATACTGATCACATATACCGTGTACACCACTTTCATTTATTGTTTACTGAACCCATCTATATACTACCTCCATTTCCTGTTTACTGAACAAATCTATATACTACCTCCATTTCCTGTTTGCTGGACATGTCTATATACTATCTCCATTTCCTGTTTACTGAACACGTCTATATACTACCTCCATTTCCTGTATACTGAACACTTCTATATACTACCTAATTTCATGCTTTCTGATCATATACTACTTAATTTCCTGTTACTGACCATGTCTATATACAACCTTATTTTCGGCTTTCTGACCGCTCCTACATACTACATTGTTTCTGCTTATGGACTATTGCTACATGATATCTACCAACCTACATCAAGCACAATGTCGCCACTTGTATTCGGTGGAGCATTGTTACTAGCAATTAAATGTAGGATCTGGGATCTCTGAAGGGCTAAGACAAGAGTAGAATTTATCTAAGTGGAAAATGAAAATTAGAAATATTAAGGAGGGGTGGGGTGGGGGTTAGTTTAGGTTTGGAATTGTCTTTCACCAATAAAAAGAAAATAAATATGGAGTATGGAATTTTAGCAGATAAAAAATAATGAATCCAATAAATCTGCAAATATCCAATATTTATTTAACACACCCACGAGCCAAGTCGAATATTTGATAATCCTAGGAGAAAATTGTAAGAGCCCTGAGTTAACATATCCTAAACCCATATTAATAACATATAAATGTAAAAATAGGTTTCAGCCAGTTTGTGCAAATCAAAATTATTTTAATCCAAAGCCAAATGGATCACTTTATTAATTGAATAAGACTTCACAGCCAAAACTAGTTGTTGCATAAATCTATTATTGAACAGACCTGGAAATGACAGTCAAGTTAAGACATTAAACAAAGCATCTCAGGTGGTAGAATACTGTATTGGCTGGTAAAGTTGGTAAGAAGGGATTCTGATGACTAATGCCTTGGGTAAATGGAGAAATGCTGTAAAATATTGAAAGATCGATGCAACTTCTACCGTGAATAGATTTAGACATACAAGTGACACAATTTTCAATTGATTAGCTGAATTAAATTGAGGCTTGAAAGCAATCAGTAGTTGAACAGTAATTCCTACCAGTAACTGGTATGTTTTAATATATTAACTGGAAGTTCTTCTTTTGTAATAGAATTTCATATAGAAAAAGAAATTCTAAATATTATTTCTATAATATATTTTTACATTTTATTCTTTCAGAAATGGAAAAGACCAACATTATTCCTGCCGTGATCATTGTTATTCTAGCATTCATTGTAGGTGTGGGTCTGGCTGTATGGTATATTTTATATAGGAAAGGTAAGATGCAAGTTGGCAACTATATTGTTCGATTGTTTTAAAGTATACAGAGTAAATAAGTAAAGAATAATCTATAGTATAAACCAGAGATGTTTCAGTTCCATTGTGAGTTGATTGACTTAAATACAGTAAATGATTTGTGGAGATACACAATAGTGTGTAATATAGGGAATAAAAAAAAACAACTAATAACATTTAGTACCCAAACTCTTACTACTCTTGGGCAGAAGCAATGGCTATAGTATTCATCAGCCCAAATATATAAACAAAACCTAAATAAGTCACAAGGCACTATCTGAAATCCCTGTAGACATTTAAATATCAGATGTTTTTCGTAAAATTTTACATTTTCACTTATACCATAAAAAGTCCAGTTTAAGCAGTTTGATAAACAGATTAGACACCCTTAGTGACTTTTCCCCATTCTATGTGTATGTATAATAATGATTATGTTCATGTATTTTCACAGTGCCACCAGTGCTTTCAAACATTACTGGAAATGAAAGTCTTGTTCATAAGAATAGAGCGACTCTGTCGTGTCAAATCACAAATTTCCGACCAAGAGCAATTGAGATTTCTGTATATCTGGAAAGGGTAGGGGGAAGCCTAGTGATGGTGGGCCAGTGGAAATCGGGGGAGCAACTCAGCAATGGAAATAATACAGCACCAGAAACAAACATTATCCAGGGAGATTACCAACTGGTTTCTGTGGTAGGACATGAAGATGGGCTTAGTAACGGCAGCTCAGTTCTGACGCCACCAATGCAGCTGGAACTAATTGCTGAAATTAAAACAAATAAAACGAACCGCACCTCAAGCTGCCAGTGTTCTATTCATTTAACTCCAGACAAAGATGAAGATAATAATGCGCGTCTGTCGTTGCAAGTGAGACATGCATCTCTGAAGGAACCACAATCAATATGCTGTGTGCTGAAGGTGAATGGAGGTAAGCATGAATCATTAATTGATCTACTTAAGAAAAATAAAATTGTTATAAATCTGTAACAATAGGTAGAGCTTCTCAGTCAAATCCCCTGCAGTAAAATGCTTAAAATATGTGAGAAAAGCTGATTTATCTTAAAACATTATAAGCTATTGTTGGTTTTTAACTAAAGCAGGAATTTTGGAAAAACCCATAGCCTATAAAAATGGAATTCTTTGTTAAGCCACAAACTGAGGAGAACTGAGAAGAAATTATGTTTAATGTTTTTGTCTTTAAATGATTTTGGCAATGATTACTGCAAAAGACATGGTTATTATATAAACGTAAAGCTGTGTTTATCTATCTTTAGTTCCTCCAAAGTTATCTCAAATCGTGGCTCCTCTGCAAATAGTCCACAAAGATTACCTGACCCTCACCTGTGCCATAAATGGGTTTAAGCCACGACCGTTGACAGTCACATGGTTGAAAGTGGATGCTGCTGATGACGCTGGTAACAAGACGAAACTTCTGTCTTCTGATCAGGATGGACTGCCAATACAATTTGCCAAATATTCTCACAAACGACTTGAAACGGCCAATGATGACGACCACACGTACAGCATTCTAAGTACTCTGACCATGAAACCCACCATAAAAGAAGATCATGGTGCAAAATATATCTGTAGGATCTTTCACCCTTCCACAGGCAAATCTATAGAAAAAAGTGTGGATATAGAGGTTTCAGGTGCGTTACCATGAGAAAATATAATCATTTATATATTATAATAATATAACATATTGAGTATTATTACTTTCAGTTCTTTATAAAAACTCAGTGTCCAAATTGCTCCCAGCTACCCAACTAAACATTATACTAGACTCAGAGAAATTTCTTATGCTGTGAGGCAGGGAATAAAGAGTCCTGCCCAACTGGATGTATTTTTCAAAGCTCCCCAGAGGAAAAGGAATATGCTTAAAATAACATGGATATTGTGCTCATTTATTGATTTTCTTTAGACATACAGTTGCAAGAAAAAGTATGTGAACCCTTTGGAATGATATGGATTTCTGCACAAATTGGTCATAAAATGTGATCTGATCATCATCTAAGTCACAACAATAGACAATCACAGTCTGCTTAAACTAATAACACACAAAGAATGAAATGTTGCCATGTTTTTTTTGAACACACCATGTAAACATTCAAAGTGCAGGTAAAAAAAAGTATGTGAACCCTTGGATTTAATTACTGGTTGAACCTCCTTTGGCAGCAATAACTTCAACCAAACATTTCCTGTAGTTGCAGATCAGACGTGCACAACGGTCAGGAGTAATTCTTGACCATTCCTCTTTACAGAACTGTTTCAGTTCAGCAATATTCTTGGGATGTCTGGCGTGAATCGCTTTCTTGAAGTCATGCCACATCATCTCAATCGGGTTGAGGTCAGGACTCTGACTGGGCCACTTCAGAAGGCGTATTTTCTTCTGTTTAAGCCATTCTGTTGTTGATTTACTTCTATGCTATGGGTCATTGTCCTGTTGCAACACCCATCTTCCGTTGAGCTTCAGCTGGTAGACAGATGGCCTTAAGTTCTCCTGCAAAATGTCTTGATAAACTTGGGAATTCATTTTTCCTTCGATGATAGCAATCGGTCCAGGCCCTGAAGCAGCAAAGCAGCCCCAAACCATGATGCCACCACCACCATACTTCACAGTTGGGATGAGGTTTTGATGTTGGCGTGCTGTGCCTTTTTCTCGCCACACATAGTGTTGTGTATTTCTTCCAAACAACTCAACTTTGGTTTCATCTGTCCACAGAATATTTTGCCAGTACTGCTGTGGAACATCCAGCTGCTCTTGTGCAAGCTGTAAACGTGCAGCAATGTTTTGTTTGGACAGCAGTCGCTTCCTCTGTGGTATCCTCCCTTGAAATCCATTCTTGTTTAGTGTTTCACGTATTGTAGATTCGCTAACCGGGATGTTAGCATTTGCCAGTGACTTTTGTAAGTCTTTAGCTGACACTCTAGGATTCTTCTTCACCTCATTGAGCAGTCTGCGCTGTGCTCTTGCAGTCATCTTTACAGGACGGCCACTCCTAGGGAGAGTAGCAGCAGTGCTGAACTTTCTCCATTTATAGACAATTTGTCTTACCGTGGACTGATGAACAGCAAGGCTTTTGGAGATACTTTTATAACCCTTTCCAGCTTTATGCAAGTCAACAATTCTTAATCGTAGGTCTTCTGAGAGCTCTTTTGTGCGAGGCATCATTCACATCAGGCAATGCTTCTTGTGAAAAGCAAACCCAGAACTGGTGTGTGTTTTTATAGGGCAGGGCAGCTGTAACCAACACCTCCAATCTCATCTCATTGATTGGACTCCAGTTGGCTGACATCTCACTCCAATTAGCTCTTGGAGATGTCATTAGTCTAGGGGTTCACATACTTTTTCCACCTGCACCTGCAATGTTTACATGGTGTGTTATTAATTTAAGCAGACTGTGATTGTCTATTGTTGTGACTGAGATGATGATCAGATCACATTTTATGACCAATTTGTGCAGAAATCCATATCATTCCAAAGGGTTCACATACTTTTTCTTGCAACTGTATATGGACACTACATGCTGATAGACAGCATTCTTTGTGCTCAGAAACAACAACAAGCATGGTTCAGCACTGGAGAGATACTAGTAACATTTAAGAAGGCAGCTCAGACAACCCAGGCCGGAGTCTCTCTTACCTGGATGAAGTGGAAGTAGTAAGGTGAAGAAGCTCTGGGAGAAGCACATTATTATAGTGTCTGATTATATATGCAACACAAGATGGGAGGGCAAAGAAAAAAATATTGGGTAGTATATTACTTGTGGATCAGAAGTGAAAATGATGCACTTACAAGAGGTCGAGTTGAAAAGCTCCTCTTGATTGCACTTAAGCGGTATAATCCCCACCTGGAGATATTGCAGTGTGTCTCTTGGACTTGGTAGATCATCCAAAGGATATGGAACAAAACACAGCTCTGGTGGTACACTCCGCACCTCGGAGAATGAACACTTGGAATTAGTAACTTTATTAAGTGGAAGACTATAATTAACATATTAAAACAATTACATTAAAAGTTACATGACACATTTCACCACAGCATAGGGCTTTTTTCAAGTGTTACAGAGACCTGGACACATAGCAGTGTTTATAGCAATGCTAATAATTTAAATGTTCGTGGTAAAATGTTGTGATGACATCACCAACATGTGGCATAATTGTTTTAATCTGTTAATTATTATATTCCACTTAATAAAGTTACTAATTCTTCTAACTACCCTGTACCATTCTGTCTATCATGGAAGTTCCAATATCTCCCCCGATGATCGTTCTCCTAGGTGGGGAGTTTACCACCAGAGCTGTATGGAATGAGCAAAACCCTGTTTTGCTCTTAAGGCATAAGTGTATTTTCATTAGCTTTACCACTTAACTTACACAGTGTGCACTATATAGCTGTTTACTGTTTTTAAATATGTTGCATAGAAGATACCACATCACCTATACCCATAGAGTGGGGATTATACTACTCCACGCAGTCAAAAGGAGCCATAACTTTAGGCTCCAATAAATGTCAGTGTATTTCCTATTTTTTATGTTGTTTTGTGATACTTGGCTATTATAAATACTACACTATATAGTGTCCACTCTTGTGTTTTAATCCATATCCTTTGGACCACCTACCAAGACCAAGAGACACACTGCAATATCCTTAGCTGGGGATTATACCGCTCAAGCGCAATCAAGAGGATCTTTTCAGCTCCATCCCTTTCTCTTCTGATACACAAGTTGTATTAGATACTACACTATATTACTTTTTTCTTTGCCCTCCCGTCTTCTGTTACATATATCATCGGAGGCTATAATGAGGCTCTACTCCCAACCTCTTCACCTTTCTACTCTTTGTGTTCAGCCTAAAGGAGTGTAGAATTTGTATGTAGTACAATTGAGTAAGAAATGGCTGACATGGAAACTGTATCGATACCCGGATCCTTGAGTTCCATCCCTTACGCTTTCTATCATCGCATCCATTTCTGTAAGCAGTCCTAAAGATTGAGGAAGTGAGACTACAGAGTCTTGATTAAAAAAAAAGGTGTAGGTGTTTTTTCAAGTGTGCTGGGAGGCTGTATAAGCCTTAAACAAGATGTGGCTAGGGATGCCTTAACAAAGCGATTTAACACCTAAATGGCAGAGAATTGAGCAATGAGATTGCAGGAGCATGATCTATGCCCGAAAACTGCTTCATTCCAGGGGCATTATAGGCATCAAAACAACTTTATCTTAATTAAGCAGCTTTGTTATATAGATCATGACATTACATGTCCCTGCAGTCTCACTGCTCAGTTCTCTGCCATTTAGGAATAAAATCCCTTTTGTTTCTGTTAATGCAGCCCTAGACACAATTTTTCTTGCTGTGACTTACACGGTCTGCATAAAATATATATATATTTTTTGCATTTTTAATCAGATGTTAACGTGCTTTAGAAGCTTTTGTCTTCTTCTCTGTAAATTGACTTTTAAAGGACAACTATAGGCACCCAAACCACTTCAGCTTAATGAAGTGGTCTGGGTGCCAGGTCCATCTAGGTTTAACCCTTTTTGCTGTAAACATAGCAGTTTCAGAGAAACTGCTATGTTTACTTTAGGGTTAATCCAGCCTTTAGTGGCTGTCTCATTGACAGCCGCTAGAGGCGCTTCCGCGCTTCTCACTATGATTTTCACAGTGAGAAGACGCCAGCATCCATAGGAAAGCATTGAGAATGCTTTTCCATGGACTGGCTGAATGTGCGCGCGCATTCAGCCGATGACAGCGAAAAGGAGGAGGAGAGTTCCCCGCGCCGAGGAAGCCTGGCGGGGGAAAACAGGTAAGATTTAACCCCTTCCACCCCCTAGAGCCCGGCGAGAGGGGGACCCAGAGGGTGGGGGGGGGACATAGAGACCCTATATTGCCAGGAAAACGAGTATGTTTTCCTGGCACTATAGTGTTCCTTTAATCACACCCAGGAGACTCCTGCTGGGTCTGGAAAGCTATTAACAGACAGGAGATAATAAATTCTAAAGTAAACAGACTGTGCAATAAAGGAAATGTAAACATTATAGCAAGTGTTTAGAAAAGCTGTGTAAGTCACATGCAGGGATATGTTATTAGGGTTGTAGAAACAAAGTGATTTAGCGCCTAAATGACAGAGAATTGAGCAGTGAAACTGCAGGGACATGATCTATACACCAAACCTGCTTAATTAAGCTAACATTGTTTAGGTACCTTTAGTGCCCCTTATAGTTAAATTTGTTTTGGTATTTATAGTGTCTTTTTGCATTACTTACAATTCACACTTTAGTGAATAAGCCTGAGTGAGGTTTCTAACACAACAATACTTTAAATACATAATTACATTAACATGTACAGATAAGTCATTACCAAAGAAATCCCACTTCCACCATCGAAGTATTTATTTTCTTTTTTACTGTCTTTAGCTAAACCAGTGCTGGATCCAATTCAGAGCAACCATGATGAGACACAAGAACCATTGAATTTGGAGAATAATATTGAACTCTCATGTCGAATTCATTCCTATTATAACCGGACACTAACCGTTACCTGGTACAAAGGCAACACTATCCTCCCATTCAAAAACAGTGACATACTAACTGATTCAAGTGGACTATTTTACTTTACCAGTAACGTATCATACAGGCCTCAAATAGAGGACATTGGGAAGGAATTTAGGTGTGAAGTTGCCCATGAGAGTCTTGAATTCCCTATAAATCAAAGCTGGAAACTGAAAAACCTGAGTGAGTAACATCAATAATTACTGTGGGATCCTTAATTGGTGCCAAAAAGTGATGTTAGGTTATTTGTAGTTTTCAAACTGCAATGGGGTTACATGTGAAGGGTAGTGATGTCCCGAACGGTTCGCCAAACGGTTCGCAAACGGTTCACCACGGACTCATCATTGAGTAAACTTTGACCCTGTACCTCACAGTCAACAGACACATTCCAGCCAATCAGCAGCAGACCCTCCCTCCCAGACCCTCCCACCTCCTGGACAGCATCCATTTTGAAGCTGCATTCTTAGTGAGCTGTCCAGGAGGTGGGAGGGTCTGCTGCTGATTGGCTGGAATGTGTCTGCTGACTGTGAGGTACAGGGTCAAAGTTTACTCAATGATGAGTCCGTGGCGAACCGTTCGCGAACCGTTCCGCGAACCGTTCGGCGAACCGTTCGGGACATCACTAGTGAAGGGATTTTCTAAAACCTATAGATGTGTAAAATCCACCATGACTTCTAATTCAAAGCCTCAAAATTTGTGGAAGGGACATTATAGTCCCTGTCTGTTTAACCCTGCAGTGTAAAACTTAACGTTTTCAAAAAACAAAAAATTGTTTACATTGCAGGGTTAAATCCAACTGTAGAGGCGCTTTCTGTTCCCTAAAGGAATTTTACTTCATTAAATGACATTAGACGGCCTCATGCTTTGCATAAGGACATATATTGTCTTCAAATTCCCTATAGGAAAGCATTGATATAATGAATAGAGATGTCGCGAACTGTCCGCCGAACTGTTCGCGAACTGTCCGCCGGCGAACAATAGCGTGTTTGCGTTGGGCGAACATATCCGATTTCCGGTCCGCCCCCTATACATCATCATTGAGTAAACTTTGACCTGGAACCTCACAGTCAGCAGACACTTCCTGGGAGGGAGGGTCTGCTGCTGATTGGGTGGAATGTGTCTGCTGGCTGTGAGGTTCCGGGTCAAAGTTTACTCAATAATGACGTATAGGGGGCGGACCGGAAATCGGATATGTTCGCCCAACGTGAACACGCTATTGTTCGCCGGCAGACAGTTCGCGAACAGTTCGGCGGACAGTTCGCGACATCTCTAATAATGAATTCCTATGGGGAACCTTTAATGTGACTTTGTGGGAAGAGGGTCCTTTAACATTTGCATGCCGGACAATGGGGTGACCAAATAAGTTAGGGAAGGGACACTATAGCATCAGAAATACATGTTTGTATTCCTAACACTATAGTGTCCCTTTAAAGGGAGACTCCAGACTCGTAAAGAACTTTAGTTTGCTGAAAAACTTTATGTGTGCAGAGTGTGTCCTCTCTTTTTCAATTTACAAAAAAGTGCAGAATTTAATAGAAACTGAGACTTTGATAAATGAACCTTGTTACACCTCCCTGGCTGTCAATCAGATAACCAGTCCTGTCACTTCCTGGTTTGTTTAGCTCAGTGAAAAACTGAAGAGGCAGCAATTGCCCAGAGCATCTGCCTTGCAAAGACTTCTCATTGAGCTGCATTAGGAAGTCTGTGTTTGGACAGCCACATAAAGTCTGGACTGGGGAAGATCTGCAGCTTTTGCAAGCAGTTTTTAAGTATAACCCAAGTGAAAAAAACGCATAAATGTTTTCATATGTACTTAATATTGATTTTATTTTCATTTGTTAGAGGGACCTAAGGTCTATTTACATTTGAGCACCCTCCCCCCAAAATAGTGAACTAAAGAATTATAATTTACTTAATGCCTTGTATTCCACAGACACTGCCTCATAACATCAGTGATTGCACTGCTAAAACTGCCGGGATAGTCTCTTTGCCACAGAACTACTACATTAAGCTATAGTTGTTATGGTGCATAGTGTCCCTATAAGGACAAAACACAAAAGTTTAACTACATGCCATCTTTAAAAAAAAAAAAATATTTTTTTTTTTAGTACTTTAGTAAGAGATTTGTAGACATTTTAATTTTCATTTCAAATCAAACAGAATCTGAAAATCACTGTACTAGAAAATAAAGTGATTATTAGGAAATTCTGATTTTCTTTTTTAACATGTAATATTATTTTTTCCTCGTCTCCTTGGCACTGTTTCTAAAGCAGCTTGCAGCATCCCTGAAAGCATGAAAGATTAGGGGGGAAAATAGGGAGGGAATAGCGGGGGACAAGTAACACTTTAATCAGACCTCCTGCATAAGTGCTCAGACCTCAACAACATGCCATTTTGTTTTATTCAGCTTTCATATGCACAAGGGAGAAATTATGAGGTTCTTCTTTAAAACAAACATACATTTCACAATATTTTATTCACTTAATCACAAGTTGTAAGATATGTTTTATTGCTAATTCTGTTGATAATTTTTCTTTAACCTGTTAATTTGTTACTGTGGAACCCCCGAAGTTTCTAATGTATCCACCTTGACATTTATATCTTTCAGTCTCTAGGCCAAAACTAAGTGAGATACTATGTCAACCTGAAAACCCTGCTTGTAGGAAACCAGTCACTTTATCATGTACAATCAGAGACTTCTACCCTGAGGACAGTGACATTAAATGGTATCGGGGTTCAAAGGAGTTAACTAATGAAGTAGATACTGAAAATGCCCAAAAAGACACAACTTCTGGCTTATTCTCCAGAACCACAAATCTGCGATTTACACCTTCAGAGGAAGATCAAAGTGCACAGTTTATTATGAGACTCTATCACTGTGGAAAAAACACAGAAAAGAAATTTAGCCTGAAATTAGAAGGTATGCCATATCATTAATATTGTTTATACTATATATAACGTAATAACATGCTGCTGCCAGGCTGATTTCTCTCTGCCATCGCTCCTCTCACACTTCACCCCTCTGTCAATCTTTACATTGACTACCTGAACCCTACTAACCCTTACCTATACAGCTCTAAACAACTTTACCCCACAATACATTTCTTCACTGATTCATAGCTATGCAATTTCTTGATCGCTCCACTCTTCTGGTGACCTTCTGCTGTTTGCTGCTCGTACCCTTACTGCTAACTCCTTTGGAGCAGCCTGCATACTCCTATCAGACTCTCCCCTTGTCTTCAATCATTTAAGAAGCCCCTCAAATCACATCTCTTCAGAATAGCCTGTGGCCTGTGGTTCCTAGAGGAACTCATAGAGCAACTTTTATTTCACAAATTTATCTTTCACGCTCCCTTAAAAGGCCACACTCCACTCTCACCTTCTAATTCTGCTACTTTCCCACCATGTCGCTTGATTGCTATCCCCCATGTTCCCCTTCCAATTGTGTTTTTATACACCACCTCTTCTAAATTGTTAGCTCTTTTGAGCAGGGTCCTCATCAATCTATTGTTCCAGTAATATTTTGTAATTGTGTCATTTATTGTAAAATTTCCCCCTCTCTAATATTGTAAAGCATGGTGACATATGTTGGCGCTATATAAATGCTAATAATAATAATAATAATAACATATCATGCAGAGTGCTGCTGGGAGAGAATGTAGTCACATTTTGGGGTCTATTTGCAAAGGCACTTTGAAAAATGTATAAATGTGTATAAATTGCTATAAAACTACAATCATTAATTCATGACTTTTATTCAGTATTTCATACAGTACACAATACATAAAATGTTTCGATCTCACAGGGCTTCCAGTTGTTAAGAATGTCACCTGTGATACAATTAATATAAAGTATGAAGATTCGCTGACTCTTCGCTGCGACGTAGTAGACTGTAATCCCGCAGATATCAGCGCTGAATGGTTAGAGAATAAAACGCAGATTAAAAGGAATGACAGAGCAATGACTTATGAAAACCACCAGGAAAGGTGGAAATCATTTCTGCTCCAAGTAATCCCTACAGCTGAGGACTACGCAAAGAAGTATACCTGTTTGGTAAAACACAAGGGTATGCAAACACCGCTCGGGAAAGCATCTACATTATTAAATCTTCCAGGTATGAGCATGGGTTTCTGTAATGTATGTGTGTAAACTTTTCAGGTGCTCTGTGAGTAAGAAAGTTAATAAATGTGAACATTGTTACAAAGGTTTTTTGTAGAAAGGGCTGCGGATGGATAAATAAAAATGCTACATTTTCTTTTGACATTTTCTTTTGTGACCTAATGTTATATTAAGGCACATCTGCCATGTCAAAAAGAATACAATTTAACCTTTACATTGCCCCAACCACATTCCCACTGAATGTATGGGTGAAAAGGATATTCTCTTGAAGAGTAAGTAACTGTATATTTTAATCTGAAATGTTGCCAGTTCAATGTATGAATTAAAGGCACAGCATCGCTCTAAAGATTTGCCTGTATTTGGTAATGTTGAATAGCTGCCATAAACAACAATTCCTGCCTCCCAAGGATGTCTGAAAACAATTGCTGATTTCATTTTCATTTCCATGAATAAAAAAAACGTTATTGTGAGTAAAGGACATATGTGGATAAAAAGTGGATCATAGACCACACAGAGAGGAGGATTAGTAGACTTAGTAAAGTTGGGCTTTGAGGTCTCAGTGGATGTCATAATTATCTCTGTACCAAACCATTTTAACCGTTAGAACTCCGAAAGACCTCCTCTGACGGTTCTAGTAATGAAGAGATTGCCACTATGAAGCCAGCATTGTTTATGCAATTTAATAATTTTTTTTAACTATATAGATTTTTTTCAAAAAAATTAAAAAAATTTTATTGCATAGAGCAGTCACAGAGGCAGCAAGTTAGGTTGAGCAGCAGTTGGTCAGAAAACAGTAGAATATGAGCCAACATTGCTGCTTACCTAGATAAAAAGTCAAATTTATCAAGAAATTCTAAAAAATGAGAAGCGAAAATTTGATAACAGTGGATTCGCAGTTTTCCAGATCTACTTGTTACAATACCCTTATATTATACCTTTTCCATTGAATAACCATATTTTTCCATATTTATTCTTCCAGAAATATCACCTACTTTATCAGAGATCACAGCTTATCCACTAAAGCCTGAGGTCAATACAGAAACCACTTTTACAATAAATATATCAGGGTTTGCTCCAAAGCACATAGAAGTGAAATGGTTTAAAGATTTCAAGATCTTAACCGAAAATATTATAACATCGGAACAGAAAATTGGAAAGGGCGGTTTATTTTTCTGTACAAGTACAGTGAAATATATCCCAGAAGGGAATGATAAGCAGATTCGTTGTGAAGTGCTTCATGGGTCCAACAAGAAAAGGCAAGAAAAATGCTATATGTTGAATTTCAAAGGTAGGTTACTATGCTTTCCCACATTTGTGTTTTATTTAATCATTTAATATTTACAATGTATGTATTGCGTGATAATGTATTTCTTACAGAACAATGCAATGATGTGATGGATAGACTGTTTTACCTTATAATTAATAAGCAGTGACACCAGCAGTTGTCTGTAATAACTTATAATCTATGAGTAACAATGACAGCATTAGACTGTAATAACTTATAATTAGCAAGTAGTGATGTCAGAACCATCCTGTAATTACATATAGTAGATGAAGAGTTATGTCAGAACTATACTATAATCATTGATATAAATATTCATGTCAGAGCTAGATTGTGATAAATTATAGCCAACGAGAAGTGATGTCGATGTCATAACTAGACTCTAATAACTTAGTCATAACTTAGTACACGACTAGTGATATCAAACCAAACTTTAATGAGTTACAAACAAATAATCATGATGAAATATACTGTAATAATTTATTTATTCCAGAAATAGTCTGTTATAACATAAACAAAATAAGTTGTTTTGTCATGTCTAGATTAGTGATGTCAAAGCTATAATAATAATAACCTGTAATCAGCAAGTCACTGGTGTCAGAACTAGTACCTTAAAATCAAAGTGTAAATATATTATTAATAGAATAATGCATCATCAGTGATTAGTGATGTCAGAACTAGACCAATGTGTAATGAGATCATATCTAGATTTATGCATAATTAATGATTAGTGACATCACAACTCAATGTCAATATCATGTCATCTGTGGGTAATGGCATCACATATAAAACATATAGAAAGGGATTAGTCATCCTATTTAAAACATATAACAGAGGGTTCGTTACACATAAAGCACACATTTGCATTATCCTGTTTAACACAATAAAGTAGAGGCGACAATGCATGTTTTTAATATACACCATATACTAGTTAGCCACAACATTAAAACCACTGACACTGACATGTGAAGTAAATAACATTGATTATTTTGTCACAGAGGAACCTGTCAAGGGGTGGGATATATTGGGCAGCAACTGGACAGTGGGTTCTTGAATTTCATGTGTAAAAATGGGCAAACAAACTGATCTGAGTGAATTTGACAAGGGCCAAAGAGTGATGCTAGATGACTGAGTCATAGCATCTCCAACAAGGCAAGTCTTGTGAGGTTTTCCCGATATACAGTGGTAGTGGTTGTAGCAGACTCCATTCCCTTATGTTCGGTTGTCCATGCCCCCTTGTTCGTCTCCTGAATGACTGGTGTGTGGTTCCCTTGTTATGCCCCAGTAAACACCAACCTCCCCTGGCTGTTAACCACAAATTAACAACTTGACACCTTTGCTTGAGCGCTTTCCTTGGGTGGCCACCATTCATATAACTGAACGGACGTGGTCCAGTGCAATGCAGTCACTTTGTCTCCTGAACGCAGACAGCAGTAACTGGTCGTCAAATGCATGGAACTGTTTTCAGACTCGCATCTCCGCGAACCTAGGCAAAGATGCCACCGCTGCCCGTCCCACTTCCCGACCAACTAGACAAAAGGCATTCAGGAGATAGGATTTACCGAACAGGGGGAGCATTCACTCCATAGCAGCCAGGGGAAGCATTCGTTGGTGTTCGCACAGGAACCCCCGAAAGCCAACTGGCCATCCTGCCCAATTCTCTGGAACAGTTTTGGGCTATCACCACGTGGCCAGTCGGTCAAAACTTTATTCTAACATAACTTTCATTCTACCGAACCAATCTGAGCGCTTTTTGGATATGTTGTGCGCTCAGATCAATTCGGGAATATGATTTTTGTGGGGTTCCTATATTCTTTTCTGGTATTTTTGGAATATTGTAAAATATGTATGTAAGTTTCTGTGTTTGAGAGATAATTAGGCATGTGCATGGGGAAAAGTTTCGGTTCGGTTCGGCATTACAAAATTCAGGATTTTTGCAATTCGGGACTTCGGCAATTCGGCACTTCAGCAACTTCGGAACTTCGGCACTTAGTATTAGTAAATTTTGCCCCTTCTTGCTATACCGCGAGTAGGGGCATGTCTAGTAAACAGTGAGCAGCCTGTGGCGAAGCGTGAGTGGGGGCTTTTAAACTAAAGGGGGGATCTATTGCCCCCCCGGCCCCCTCCCCTGAGCGGCGGGTGGGTGCCCTTAAGTAAAATTATGGGGGGGTGACCTATTGTCCTCCCCCCTGGCCCCCACCCCTGAGCTGTGGGTGTGGGCCCTAAATACTAATAAGGGGGGACCTAATGTCCTTCCCCCCGGCCCCCACCCCTGAGCGGTGGGTGGGGCTCTAAATTAGAATAAGGGAGGGACCTAATGTCCTCCCCCCTGGCCCCCACCCCTGAGCAGTGAGTGGGGGCCCTAAATACTAATAAGGGGGGGACCTAATGTCCTCCCCCCTGACTCCCACCCCTGAGCGGTGGGTGGGGGCCCTAAATACTAATAAGAGGGGAACCTAAGGTCCTCCCCCTTGGCCCCCACCCCTCAGTGGTGGGTGGAGGCCCTAATTACTAATAAGGGGGGGGGACCTAATGTCCTCCCCCCATGGCCCCCACCCCTGAGCGGCGGGGACCTTTTTTTTCTTTTTTTAACAGGGCTGCTCACTGTTTAATAGACATGCCTCTACTCGCAGAATAGCGAGTAGGGGCATAATTTACTAATACTAAGTAATCTTTAGGTCTTTCAGCCTTTTAGTAGATAGCTCCCTAAAATAGTGGGAATTAGGGAGTTATCTACTTATTCATTCCTGTCATTACATTGACTGGCTAACTAACTTACATTTTATATGAATGTATGTTACTTGATTGTTGTAAGTGTTGCAACTGCTTACAGCTGAATCCTGGCTATGTTTGTATACTTTTTATTTAAAATTGTATACAATGTAACATTCTTCTTCTTTCACTGGGTAAATATATTACTACTAAGGCAATACTGTGCTTCAGAACTTCGGCACTTTTGACACTTCGGAACTTCGACACTTCGGAAATTCGGTAATTTTGGACCTTCGGGACCTCGGCAATTCAGCACTTCGGCAATTCGGACATTCGGAAGTACCCGAATGTCCAAATTGCCCGAAATTCGTCCGAATACATATTCGCACTGAAACGAATTGCACATGTCTAGAGATTATTGAGTTATCCTAATTTGAGCTCAATTATCTCCCAAACACAGAGGCTCTTGGGAAGAAACCCCTGTGTTCTTGATATCAAAACCCCATGCTAGTGGCCAGTGTATAAAAGCTGTGTGTGGTAGATTAAACTTCAGTTGTACTCCCAGAACTGTGTAGTGCAGTTACTGGGGAGGAGGTGGGCTATTTACTTGGGCCCAGCATCAGTGGTACCTACCAAAAATGGCCGGCGTCAGGGTTATGAGTGTCCAAGGCTCATCGACGGAGTGAAGGCTAGCCCGTCTGGTCCAATCACATAGAAGAAGAGCTACTGTAGCTTAGATTGCTGAAAACCTTGGTGTCAGAATACACAGTGCATCGCAATTTGCTGCATATGAAGTTGTGTAGTCGCAAATTGGCCATGATCACACCTGTCCATTGCCGAAAGTGTCTTCAATAGTGACATGAGCGGACATGTTGTGGCTGATCAGTGTATATACCATATAACACATAAGAGGGGACACATTATATGATATATATTTAAATCTAAACCTAAAATTAAACCATTCACCTTAATCCTATGTTTAACACCTCATCTACCCCAATACTAAATAACTAAATTAACCCAACTCTAATCCTAAACTCAATAATCCTAAACAGGCTCTGTAACACAATTTCAACCCCTTTAAACCTGTTAATCATATTAACACAAAAAAATCCTATCTAATCTAACACACATTAAAATGTGCTTTAATTATTCAAGCTAAATGAAGATATATTTAATAGACTTGTGCATGGCGACAAAATTTGTTATTAGTGGATTAGAATAAGAAGAGTAACACTTCCAATTTTCTGGAGTTTATGATCAGCTCCAGATACGTCGTAAGAAGAAAAAAAAAAGCCCCAGAAAATAACATTAATACCCAAAATACTGTAAGCATTAATGCTTATTACCAAATTTGAATAATAATGAGCAAAATTATAAAAGTACCATATCACGCAAAATATTCACATACCGAAAACCTTTCTAATAACCGCAGCCTCAAGCCCTCCCCCACACTTTCTTGTTACAAATCATAACCTCCATCAAAATCGAAAGAAAAAAAATATCTACATAATCCAATAATCAGAACAATAATTATCTGGAAAAAAAAATTATGTTCTGCGCATCAAGTATAATTAAATGCCTAGAAGAAGAGTATCTGCTCCGTCGGGATTATGTATTAGTTCCCAATAATGTAGGAGGCCCTTTTGTCCAGCCATGCCTTCGCATCTCCTGGCTTCTGAAAAGATTTCCTTTTACCTTCATCTTGGATTATCAAGCATACCGGAAAATTATTTAAAAGGACTTAATTATTTGTCTAATATAGAGGGATGAGTCTCGCAAAATTAAAATATTTTTAAATCTCATACCTCTTTCAGTATTTACTCTATTTGTTTTTAGGACACCTTCTTTATATTTGGGGTTGATAGAGAAACATATCAGCTCTCTTTTTGCATTTTGGGGATGATAGAGAAACATACTAGCTCTCTTTTTGCACATTGTGCACCTATATTTAAAAAAAAAAAAAAAAAATTGTAAAAATTCTCTATTTTGTCTTGGGAGATGTCCTCTGAGATATTCCAGAAAAGTAAATTAAGGCGTGTGGACCTGACTTCCAGGTCTGAAATTTTTCTTTCCAGCGTAGAAACATTGTATTCCAACTTTACAATCTGAATCGCATTCTCTTTACTTGTTTGAAAGGATGAGTAAATTTTTTCTTCCATCTTCTCCACACGGTTACTCAGGGCTATAATATAATTTTTAATTCCCTTAGAGTTCACTCGAATCTCACTTTTAAGTTGTTCTAAAAGTTGTGATTTTCCAGCTGTAGAGAGGTGACTCCTTGCTCATTCCTTTCTGGAGAATTTATCGGACGGTGACTCCTCCAAGATTGCAGGGCCTATAATACCACTTTATGCTCCTTGTATAGAGGTGTCTGCAGTATTATCCAAGACTCCTTTGTGTGTTATCTGGGAGGAATTTGTTTTTCTATCTTTTGTGTTATTTGTGTTATTTGTTTTTCTATCTTTTTTTGGCAGTTTCCCAGGTTTTCTGTTAGTCATTTTTTGTCAATTAATTTTCCAGCTTTTTCCTAAATCCAAATTGCAGATGGTAAGGAAGATCTACCCCTCTCTCTTACCTCCTCTGCTTCTAATAGCAGACATTTGTAAATATTTCACAGGAAATATTATAAGCAAAGTATTTGTTTCAGAGTATAAATAAACAATTATGATTTTTTTTTTAGTTGGTTATTCAGCATTATTCTGCTTTCTACTTCAACCTTAATTAGATCTCTTATCCTTGATGACAGGCAAATAACAGTTTTTACTATAAGTCAAATCATATAATTTCAAACATGTAACTTGATCCAGACATTTAGACCATAATTAGCCTTTACACTGCTGATGGTCAGGGCCGTCTTTAACATTAAATGGACCTTTGGCAAGCATTTGCTTAGGCCCCTGGATCCTGCCTCCCCCTCACACTTGCACCCCCTGACATGCGATCATGCCCTCCACCCCAACACAGTGGCAGGACGAATGTAGAGACGGCTCTGGTGCAAGACATTTTTTGGGCCTCCCCTCTAGCTCAAGAGTGGAGAAAAGATAGATTCTCATCTGTCGTACAGCACCCACAATGCCATGCCAGCTGGGAATTTACAATTTGGACATTCTAGCAGGGCTGTATTTGATGGCAGTGTTTGTGCATTTGAATGTGAGCATGTTTTTGTATAGAGTATGTGTGTGCATGTAGGGTGTAGTATTGGTGTTTGATTGAAGGGGTGTATTTATATATACTTTTTGAATTTGAATTCAGGGGTGTGTTTGCATGTAATGTTTGTGTTTGCATGTTGTGTTTGCTGGGATATATGCATATGCATTCTATACATTCACAGATCTACATACACATTAGCATGCAGAAACACATGAACACACATGGACACATGCACACACTGACACAAACACACAAGCTCATACACTAGGATACACACAGATACAGTCACACACAAACACACACTCAGATACACACACTTTGATACACACACTCAGATACACACAGACACATAGGTACACATACACAGAGGTACACATGCAGGGGTGTATTTGTGTGCGATGTTGGCGTACGCATGCTGGTATGTATGCATTGCCACATAAACAGATGCACACTTACACAAACACTGAGATACACACAGGATCACAGATACACATGCAGTGGTGTATTTGAGGGCAATGTTAACGTTGGAATGTAGTAGTGTTTTTGTGTGCAGTGTTGGCGCAGGAATGTAGTAGTGTTTTTGTGTGCAGTGTTGGCACTGGAATGATGGTGAGATGTATGCATTGCTACATGCATAGATACACACTTACACACACTGAAACATATACACACACAGGTACACATACACAGACATGCAGGTACACATACAAATTGACACATAAGTACACATATACAGACACAGGTATACATACACACTGACACACAGGTGCACATGCACTGTCAAAAACACAGCCAGATACACACATACCGTCAGATACATACACTGACACACATACAGTCAGATGCATACACTGACACAAACACAGCCAGATACACACACTGACACACACAGCCAGATACACACACACACAGATAGATAAACACACTGACAAAAAAAAAACGGCCAGGTGCACACTCATAGTCAGACACATACACAGCCAGATACACACACACACACACACACAGATACACACACTGACAAAAACACAGCCAGATACACACACTGTCACAGACCCAGATACACAACATATAGCTATCAATTTACACAGTTTAGCCATCCTCCTTTCTCCTTACCTTTACAGAAGGGTGGCTTTCCAGATACACAAACAGCCAGATACACACATACAGTCAGATACACACACTGACAAAAACACAGTCAGATACACACACTGACACACACACACAGCCAGATAAACACACTGACAAAAATACAGCCAGGTACACACTCATAGTCAGATACATACACAGCCAGATACACACAATGACAAAAACACAGCCAGATACACACACTGACACAGACTCAGGTACACATCATATAGCTATCAATTTACACAGTTTAGCCACCCTCCTTTCTCCTTACCATTACAGAAGGGTGGCTTCCCTGGGGTCCAGTTGGAGATGGATGGCTGAGGTTGATGGTAGTCTGAGGAACCTGCTATCTCAGTCCCTCTCATTCTCCTTGGTGTGTGCCTCCTCCTCCTTTTCTTCCTCCATTTGTGCCTCCTCCTCCCCAGCAGCACTCTGTTACTTTTGAGGAAGTGGTCTGACATCACTTCCTCCCAGCAGGCAGAAAGACATGGCCAGGTCTGGAGCACACTTGAAGGGCCAGAGGCCCCTGATTACATCACCTGCTGCAGCCCACCGGGAAATTTCTCAGGATCCCAGTGGGCTGTCAGGTCCTGGTTGCAGGCAGGGGGCCCCCCAGGAGTAATTGGGCCCGGGGCAGCTGCCCAGTTTGCCCCTTGTTAAAGATGGCCCTGCTGATGGTACTGATTTCTATTTCATAATAAGCACTTGTGCCATAAATTATTCCAAAAAAAGACTAGCTTGCCCCTGTAATAGTTGAAAAACTCACAGTGATCCAGATGCAAGTAGTAAGATAGATACAGCTGGTGAGCCCGCTGTATATCTACCAATGTCTGACATAAACAATTCATGCTTAAGTCTTAATGTGCCAAAAGCTAGTTTTTAAAATCCCTCACTTATAAAGTTATATAAGAAGCTGACCATAATATTTGTAGAGAAAAAAAAAAAAGAGTATGTTACTCACAGTATCGATGGAAAATCTTATGGAGCAATAAAAATCTGCCATGAAAGGGGAAGCAAGTAGTTACTGACTTACATTCATCCTGGTTTGGCTTTGAGGAATATCAAATGTTCCTTCATCTCCTTTATGCTACGTTCAGTCATCGGGGTGGAACCTCTCTGTACCCTCTGTCTCTCTACCAAGGGAGCACTACCCACTCCGATGCCCACCACGGCATTCCAACTCCACAGCAGGGACTCCCTCTGTCTGCTTCCATGTGTGGCCGCTCCATCAGGTCGTCAGTTTATCGCACCTCAGCGCTTGGTTCCTAGAGCGACTAGACGTGCATGCTCATGTCATCACTGCTCCCCCGATCAGCTCCAGATATGTCGCCTGGGCAATACAATCCCCACGTATGGATATGTTGCTGAGCTCATCACCTTATAGGAAGGTGTTCTAGACCAAGAGATGACTTGTGGTACCAAGCGTTTGCCAGTATTCTCCTCCAAAATGCAGCATTGTGGCAGTGGAAATTCACGAGTATATGGAATGAGAATAAAAACAGAATCTAGTGCTCTATAGGACTAGGATGAAAGTGTATAAAAGGTGATATACGCACATAAGGAGAGCAAAAAGAAGGATTTGCTCAATCCCATACAGTGTAGGTGGTATCTTCCCCACCAAGGAAATAAAAGTGTGAATCCTGCAGATAAAATCTTCAGAGACTAAATCAGGGAGGTCCAACTTAAATAATAGACTTGTTTTACTATTCAACTTGGACCTTCCTGACTTTATCTCTGAGTTAAATCAATTTGTTTATACAACTCTAGACATAGCTCTCTTTAGTGCCTATAGTGTCCCTTTAAGTATCTGCTAAAAAACCACTGGATCTAAAAATCTAAAATCTAAAAATCATTTGGTGATTTTTTTTGTTTTTTTACAGTTTGACTATTTTGACATTAATTCACTTTGAATTTCCATCAATTCTCACTATATTAAATAAATGTTAAGTTGCAATAGAAAACTAGCTTAGGCAATTATACAGAGAGTTTATGCCTCCCAGTGGTCATAAGTCAGATCTACAAATCTCATCTACTTTTGAGATGTGATTTTCAGGTGTTTGTTGTTTTTCTCTCACGTCTGAATTAATACACATCTACAGTATCATACAAATAAAATAATACATCTATGCCAGCGGTTCCCAAACTGTGTGCTGCTGCGCCCCTGGGGCACGGCAACAGAAACACAGGGGTGCCGTGTAATGTTTCTGCTGAACATTACTGAAACATTACTGCTGAACAGGGGCCCGATCGGGTGACACAGTGCTTTAAGACCGCGATCGGGCCTCTGTAACGTCAGCCGTCTGGGAGTGACATGCAGTTAGACAGCGCGGGAGGTAGAGGAGACAGCCAAAGCATTATGGGAGAGGAGCACAAAGACCTCCAGACCCATCACTCCCACCAGCAGCAGCAGGACTCCAAGCCCCGTCCTGGACAGGAGGGTGTCTGTGCCTGGATATATTAAAAATATCACTAGTGTGTATGAGTGTGTATGTATGCATGAGTGTGTGTGTATGTATTTGTGTGTCTGTGTGTGTGTATGTATGAGTGTGTATGTATGTGTGTATATATGTATGTGTGTGTCTGTGTGTGTGCGTGTGGGTGTATGTATGTGTGTGTGTGTATGTATGAGTGTGTGTGTGTGTGTGTGTGTGTGTGTATATATGTATGTGTGTGTCTGTGTGTGTGTATGTATGAGTGTGGGTGTGTGTCAGGTTGTGCATCTGTGCAGTCTGTGTCTGTGTCAGTGTCTGTGTGCGCACACACATCTGTGTGTCAGGATATGCATCTGCGTATGTGCATCTGTGTGTCATTGTATGTTCTAAATCAGTGTGTGTATCTGTATCATTCATGGTGTGTGCATGTATCAATGTTTGTGTGTTTGAGTGCATGTGTGTGTATATGTTGGTGTATGCATGTGTTAAGGTATGTATCAGTGTGTGTGTATGTATATGTTGGCGTATGCGTGTTTTAAGGTATGTATCAGTGTGTGTGTATGTGTTGGTGTGTATCTATGTGTGTGTATGTGTCGTGTCTAAATTAATTTGTGTGTTATGTATGTATGTGGTAGTGTTTGTGCATACATCCAAGCAGTCATACACCAACACAGCAAACACACTCCTGCAATCTAACACAAATATTACATACAAACACACCCCTGCATTCAAACCCCAAAAGGATATACAAACACACTGTTTCACTCAAACACAAATACTTTACATAAATGTACACCTGCATTGAAAAAAGTGAACAAGACATTCAAAAACACCCCTGCAATCAAACACAAACATTACACCCAGGACATACTTGAAAACGAGAGAAATCTGAATGTATCCTTACTGGTAAAATATTTGTCAATAATAATACAAACACACCTCTATATTAAAACACAAAAACTATATACAAGCACCTCTTCAAACACCAACACTGTACATTACACTATAGCGCCAGTAAATGCCGCAGCGCTGTACAGATATACAACCTAGTAATTTTGACTTGGGGTGCCTTGGAAAATTATTAAAATATTAAGGGCGCTTTGAACCTAAAAAGTTTGGGAACCACTGATCTATGATATTGTTTGCATTTTAAATGGTTTCTAATAAAAGTAAAATTTGAACGCTTTTCCCTGCATTGTTAGTAAGCACCTTTGTTGTCTTTACTTAGCACATGAGTTCTTACACTGTTGACATGAATTATATGATGTTAAAAACCTTGCTAGTTTTGCCAACTGTTTGTGTTTTACAAATCAAAAAAACTATAAAAAAAAGCTTGCTATAACCAATATTTGTGTGTATAAATAAAGCAAAGAGTTAATTTTGACAGTATATACATATATTTTTACGTTAGTTCACTGATTGCAAATTATATTTGTATTTGTTAGGGAATCCTGGAATTGTGTCTGAAGACGGAGGTCCTACAAATCCAGTTATGCCACAATTCGGTAAGTAACGTTAACCATATGGGAATAAACCCAATCTTTATAATGTTGCCTATGACAGTTTTTATACGGTTTCAAAATTATTTCAGAGTAGGCGTGCAATACAAAGTAAATTCTGGAGAAATGTATCCAAACATTAAGGGAAATAATAATCTTAATATATTTTAATATTGTGGCAATAAACCTGGATCAAAAATGGTAGCAGGCCCCTTCTCACTTAGTAGATTGTCTACTGAAATGCCTTCTGAGAGCTATCTACAGGTGATACTCCAAAAATTAGAATATCATACAAAAGTTCATTTATTTCAGTTATGCAATATAAAAGGGGAAACTAATATATGAGATAAATGCATTACATGCAAAGCAAGATAGTTCAAGCCGTGATTTGTCATAAGTGCGATGATTATGGCTTACAGCTCATGAAAACCCCAAGTAATCTCAGTAAATTATAATATTACATGCAACAAATAAAACAAGGAGTGTACATAGAACAATATCAGACCTCTGAAAAGTATAAGCATGCATATGGACTCAGTACTTGGTTTGGGCCCCTTTTGCAGCAATTACTGCCTCAATGCGACATGGCATGGAAGCTATCAGCCTGTGACACTGCTGAGGTGTTATGGAAGACCAGGATGTTTCAATAGCTGCCTTCAGCTCTTCTGCATTGTTCGGTATCATGTCTCTCATCTTTCTCTTGGCAATGCCCCATAAATTCTCTATGGGGTTCAGGTCAGGCGAGTTTGCTGGCCAATCAACCACAGTAATCCCACGGTCATTGAACCAGGCTTTGGTGCTTTTGGCATTGTGGGCAGGTGCCCAGTCCTGCTGGAAATTGAAGTCAGCATCCCTATAAAGCTTCTCTGCGGAAGGAAGCATGAAGTGCTCCAAAATCTCCTGGTAGATTGCTGCGTTGACCCTGGACTTAATGAGGCACAGTGGACCAACACCAGCAGATGACATGGCTCCAGCAGATGACATGACTGTAGAAACTTCACACTGGACTTTAAGCATCTTGCAGTGTGTGCCTCTCCATTCTTCCTCCAGACTCTGGGTCCTTGGTTTACAAATGAGATGCAAAAATTGCTCTTATCAGAAAAGAGGACTTTGGACCACTCAGCAACAGACCAGGTCTGTTTTCCTTTAGCCCAGGTAAGATGCTTCTGGTGTTGTTTGTTGTTCAGAAGCGGCTTGACAAGAGGAATAGGACATCTGAAGTCCATGTCCAGGATCCGTCTGTGTGTGGTGGCTCTTGATGCACTCCTTGTGAAAGTCCCCAACACATTTGAAGGCCTTTTCCTGACAATCCTCTCCAGGCTGTGGTCATCCCTGCTGCCTGTGCACCTTTTTCTTCCACACAACTTTCTATTAATGTGCTTTGATACAGCACTTTGGGAACATCCAACTTCCTTCGCAATTACCTTTTGAGGCTTTCCCTCCTTATGGAAGGTGTCAATGATGGTTTTCTGCACAACTGTCAGGTCTGCAGTCTTCCCCGTGATTGTGATTCGTACTGAACCAGACTGAGAGACCATTTAAAGGCCCAGAAACCCTTTGCAGGTGTTATGACTTACTTAGCTGATTAGAGTGGGACACTGTGAGCCTAGAATATTGCACCTTTTCACAATATTCTAATTTACTGAGATTGTGGATTTGGGGTTTTCATGAGCTGTAAGCCATAATCATTGCACTTATGACAAATCACGGCTTGAACTATCTTGCTTTGCATGTAATGCGTCTATCTCATATATTAGTTTCCCCTTTTACGTTGCATTACTGAAATAAATGAACTTTTGCACGATATTCTAATTTTTTGAGTATCACCTGTATGTATTTAGCATTGAACATGGAAGCCTCCAGGCAGATAAAATATTTCTCAAATATACTTTGTGAAACATGGAACAAACCCAGAACTAACACAAACATAAAACACACAAATATAGAAAAAAACATTAGTTTTATAATGAAATTAACAGAGGGGGGAAAAAAACAAGAAATTATCTTCAACTAACTCTAAAATTACATTTTTCTTTTTTCTTAAGTAAGATTTTATTAAATTATGGAAAAATATAGATGGAGTTCAGAAACTGAGAAATTATTATATATGCTATAAATATAATGCACTTTACGTGCAGATAACCCCTATAGAACTTCAGGAACTTCAGTGTTCTAAGTGTTTTTAAGTGCCTTTTTAAAAACTCTCTGTGATTGACAGATTTATTCACTATTCAGCAGGGTTATACATTAAAGTGAGAAATAAAAATAAATTCAAAATTGTATGTGAAAGTTGTCGACTGGAAGCTTAATTGACTTGGAGAATTTTTCCACTTCAACCTTTTGGCTTAAAATTTGAAATTTTTTGTCTTCTCTTTGAATTCCCAACAATTCTCACTGTAGTATATAACTGTGCTCTGGTTGACAAAATGTACATATATTTTTACGTTAGTTTACTGATTGCAAATTGTATTTGTTAGGGAATCCTGGAATCGGACCTGTAGACGGAGGTCCTAGAGATCCAATTGTGCCAAAATTTGGTAAGTAGCATTAACCATATGGGAATAGACCCAATCTTTACACTGTTTCCTATGACAGTTTTTGTACGGTTTCAGAATAATTTCAGAGTAGACGTGTGGTATAACCATTATAGGGTAAATAATAATAATAATAATCCAACCAGCCAGCACAAGTATTTCTGTCAGTTAGCAACACATTTGCTGTAGCACCTGTCTCCAGTTATCTTGCTGTTAATTAAGACAACTCTCCATGCAGTCTAGAATTTCCCTACTGCCTTGATGTACAGGTCGTACATAAATAGATTTCTAATGCAAGGCCAGTCATTCATTGTGAGTGTCAGCTGATGCTGTCAGCCTATAACATGCTACCAGTGCAAGACTTCTGCATTGAAGCTATAGGCAGTGGAAGAGGGGCCTGTATGAGGGACAGTGTCTGCAGTACTTTGAGGTTAAACATTAACGGTTTAATTCCTTTAAGAATTGTACTCACTTAATGACCATACACTGTCATGCAGTGCAAGACTTTAACGTCCCTTGATGGCATAGACTGTCATGTTAAATCCCTGCTTGTAGCAAGGGACTCTCCAGGATATTTTTCTGGAGAGTTCCTCTCTGTCAGCTGACATATGAGCCATGTGCAGCTTTCAAAGTAAGCTCTGCGTATAGCCCTTTAAATCCTTTTAAATGCATTATTAACTCTGCTCTCAGTATGCTATTTAAAAATAAGGGGACCCCAGGTACCTGGAGTCCCCTCTTTCAGTTGGAACCACAGTTAGATGGTGGGATTAATGGTGGGATTAAGGGATGGAGTAGGAGCAAGATTATGGGAAAAGGTATTCATGTGGGGTATCATAGTAATCGATAACAGTGGCAAAATACAAATATGGGGTGTTTGCAGTACTGAGACACTCATGGTCTGTGAATTTTCCAAAAATAAAACCCATGTGCAAACACAAGAAATGAATTAATTTGATCTTAATTTATGATAAAATAGTTAATTGAACAGTGTCAAAATGCTTTTAGTTACGTTGCATTGGGGATGTCCTTTCTACAAATATGTACTTTTGGATTCTGTGACTACTATGAAAGTTGTTATCTCAGTATGCCACATTTTGCTGAGTTATAGCTTTAAAACACATTAATTCGCTCTAAGAATGCACTGAAATCCTGCACATATTGCGTATTTTAACAATTAGGAACAGTTAGTGAATCACTTTTGAATTAGCTTTCTCTAGTTGCACTTTGTGTGTAGAAATGATTAAATGCAAAACTGAGGAAGATTTTTTTTTTTTTTTTGTTTATATATATATGTTATGTATACATATAGAGTACCAAAATAAAGCCATGTTTCTACTTTAAAAAGAGTGAATTTATGGAAAAAGTGCCAAAAAGGCCTTTCTCGCAAAAGCATCACATCTCAAAAAAGCCTTGGGGCGTAAGGGGTTACGTTTCTTTGTATGAAATTATTTTTTTCAGAAGGTATTTGTGAATGCAGAGAATTATTTTTAAGAAATATCTAAAAATAATGTAATAGGTACTTTTGCTAGATTGAAAAGCACTCGTCATATATGTTTGTATAATGGAGAACTGTTAAATTGGGAATTGGTCATATATCGATCCTTATAACTGCAATTTGATGGGGTTTTTTTGATTGTGAACTATATATAACGCTATAGATAATCAAACAAATATATATTAATGTGGTAATATTAATGTTGTAATATTGAAATTTGTATAATTTGTATAATTATTGTATATTTGATATATATAAAAGAAAAAAAAACATTCATAAATAAAATAAATAGAAAAAAAAAAGAAAAGCACTCATCATAAAATTTTTTTTATATTTCTTTTTAAAGTTGTGATTAAATAATATAATTATTGTAATTATTGTGAATAAATTGATTGAGTTTGATGACAATGTTACTTTCTTTATAAAGGTGAAGGAAAAAAGCCACGTTCACAAGGAATTATTTGTAAGACCAAAAATCCTAGACCTGGAGAAGATGTCATGCTAGCATGTTGCATTAACGGACTGGATTCAAGTAATGGCGTGTTCTCTTGGTACAACGGGATGTTCGCCATAGTAGACAACATCCACGCATTCAACAAAAGTGATGGCTCTGGCTGCATTTCCACAGTTACTTTTAAACCAGACAAATCCGAAACTGAATGTCAGATCCGATTTGATGCTACCTTTAACTATGAAACTATCGAAGAAAATTATGTTCTTAAACTGGCTTAATGATTGTTCGATCGGTGAAACGCTAAACCTTGGTATAGATGAAGGACATTAGTCTCGGGTCACTCATCAGCACAGGGTACTGATACCTCTTTGTATATTACAATGGACAGCGTAGGAGAGTAACGGAGCTGTTGTGTTGCTCATAAAAAACACTGAAATCTTTACTATGAACATACAGCGTGAACACACTCACCCAACACAACTCTAAATCAACAAGATTTTAGCATATTGTAAAGATGGATTTATCAACTTCAGTGCTTTAAGGATTTGACGTGCCTCTTTAAGAACTTTCTGTGATTGACAGATTTATTCACTATTCAACAAGGTTATACACTAAAGCGTAGAATGCAAAATAAATGTAAAATTTAATGCGAAAGTTGCGGAGCTGGAAGCATAGCTAACTATGAGAACTTGAATAGTGTTCAATATCCCAATGAGTGAAACCAAAACGTCAATAATACTCTAGACACCTTATGTGGGTATTCCCTTTATCCCCACAAAACCACAAAGATATACATACAGTATAAGGTGGAGTATATAAATAGGAATTCTTCCAAGTGTAATGTAAAACAGGATAATGTTCTTTAACAATTCCCTAAAAATTAACACAAATAGGGAGAAAGAATAGTGCAATATTGCCAATACAAAGTTTATAATTATAATAGGTAGGTAATGGAGCACTCACAAACATAGAGCCACTAGGTAGGCTCAGAGATTGAAGCACTGTGGGTACTTAAGGGACCCACTCCCTTCTTTCTATGGTCTGGGATATTCCAATGACAGGAACTTTTCTCAGGTGATTGCAAATCAATAAAGTGCTTTATTCAGTAAAGTGCACATAAATTTCCATAAAACTGTTAAAAGTAAATAAAAAACCTTACAGTCTGAAGGTAGTCCTTATAGTTGGACAAATTTATGTGCACTTTACTGAATAAAGCACTTTATTGATTTACAACTTCTTGAGAAGAGATCCTGTTATTGGAATATCCCAGACCATAGAAAGAAGGGAGTGGGTCCCTTAAGTACCCACAGTGCTCCAACCTTTGAGCCTACCTAGTGGCTCTATGTTTGTGAGTGCTCCACTACCTATTTACTACAATTATACATTGTGTATTGGCAATATTGCACTATTCTTTTTCCCTATTTGTGTTCATTTTTAGGGAATTGTTAAAGAACATTATCCTGTTTTAAATTACACTTGGAAGAATTCCTATTTATATACTCCACCTTATACTGTATGTATAACTATGAGAACTTATCCACTTCAACTATTGTGGCCTCAAATTTGAAATTCGCTTTGTAATTTCTTTAAATTCCCAACAATTCACACTGTAGTGAATAATTGTGAAATGATAGATTACATTTAGGGCAGAACTCTTCTTCCCAGTGCTCTGCTGTATTTCTACTTTTATTGCCAACCCCCAAGATCAGGACAGATGATGACCCTTGATTATTGGTTTGAATAGTTTTCATTTCTACAGTGTGAACATCTGTGAACTATATCAGTGGAGTCTCTTACATACATGTTTGCTGTATGTTTATATTGTCTTATTTACTTTGATGACTTTATAATGATGAACATGTCAGATGACATCCAGTTCTCTATGAGGACCATTTCTATGAAAATCATCGTTTGTCTTTTTGGTATATTTTTGACACGATTTGTTTTTGTTGAACAAATATTTTCATGGTTAAATAAAACTCTTTAGAATATATCAAATAGAGAATGCACACTAGAATCACTACAAAGAGTTATGCAAATACTTTAATAAAACAATAATTGGTACAATAAGCATAATGCAAAATATAAAGTTACAATATATAAGCATAACAAAACAAACAGTAATAATTGCCTATTCTGGCAGAAACACGAGCCCCCAATACCCCCAATGTTTCGGCACCTACTGGCTGCCATTTCCAAGTTTGCATTTATGTTACGTTGAATATGCAGCACATTTTTCATACAATTAGTTTGGGTCTTTAGAAGCAATTTGGTTAATGTAAGTCATAGATAAGATTTCCATGTATTTCCTATCAGCCACCAAAAATAAATGAATTGCCAAAACTTGAGCTTCATAAGGAATGTACAGTGGAAACCACAAGAGCAAAGCAGTGGCTGGTTGGTTAGGAATATGATTATCTCAAAGTTGGGCCATTAGGTTGTAAATCTCCATCCATAAAGGGAGTTAGATAGTTGCAGTCCCTCCAAATGTAACAATTTGTGATAGGCAGCACCAACAAAGAGGGAGGGGAGCACATGCTAAACATTTTTTGAAATTTAAAAGGAGTACCATCTATAAATAAGCTTCTATTGGACTTCCATAAGGTTATAACATCAAGATATGCCCTCTAATGCATTGGCGGTGGCTATGTTTTTAGTAAAAGAATGAGATTGAACACTTTCAGTCTCCTTGCTTCAAATACGAACATGTCTTATTTGGGATGCATGCTATGCACAAGTGCTTCATAACATATAGAAAGTAACTTATTCTGAATCAGGGCATTCCAAATATTAGAAATAATGCTTCTAATTTCCAATGTCAGAGAAGACAAGTCATTCCAAGAAGCATTCACATATTTCTGAATTAGATTTATTAATTGTTGGTAAAAGAAAGTATATGCGGATCAGCTTCAAATATTTTGGTCAAGTTAATTGTTTTTGGTGTGAACGAATTTTGCCCATGCATTTAATTGGGGAAAAACTATATAAGTTTTTCCTGTATTAAATACATAAAACTATGTATATAATTTATACATATAATGTGTAGTACAAAGAAAGGAGCATTTTTGCGTTATTTGGTTTACCAATAGAGGGGAAAAGAGGAGGAGAAGTAATAAAATCTATATTTATATTATATATTTATTAAACATATAATATATAAATATACACAACAAACTCCAATAAACAGATGTGGTCAACCGATATATAAATATAGATTTTTCTATTATTCCTCAGTTTCTCTTTTGGCCACGTTTGACTTGATTTGAGAGTGAGACCAACATTTAGTGGCTGTCCCCTAACCATCAATCATCTTTTTTTCTATCAATCATTTTTTTTTTTTGCCACTGGTGGAATTCCGAATCACTAATCAAATAAAACTGTTCATTTATTGTCTGTTTTGTTTGTTTCGGGATTTGTCCTTATAGTATTTTGAAGTACAGGATTTCAGACAACCAGATATTGTAAAATATTTGGGAGTATTTCAATTTGGGAGAAACCAAATATACAAGCCCAGATATCATTCCACTTTTTCAATACCTCTTGATGTCCACTTCCAAGGCATGACTGATAAGGAAACCATATTCAAAGTTGATATAGGTGTTTGTAGTAAAAATTTGAATAAGGGATCTAATCTAAGAATAAGTCCCACATTGGAATCATAAAATTAGAGGTAAGGAATGAGTGAAGTATCTGTGGGCCCACCATACAATGTCTAACAGTAATGTCGAGGGATATGCAGCTCACTTTAAACCTGCCTACTGTAATTTACCTATTGGGGAATGAATATTAACAACTTGGACCAGTAACCAGGGCCGGCGCTACCTGTAAGGCGGACTAGGCAGCCGCCTAGGGCGCCCCTTGGGAGGGGGCGCCGCCAGGAGCGCCGGCCCCGCTCATGCTGCAGCCGCCCGAGCGCTCTGTAGTGAG